GTAATGAAACCTTATTTTATGTAGACAGATGTTTTCCTTCCTCACCACCTCAATGTCCTTGTGAGCTCAGTCTTTTCACAGTGGCTCGGTTACCTCTTGGGTTTCTTGCTGCCCACTATGCTGCACCGCCCCAGTGCTGCCCAGCCCTTTCCTTCCTTCTTCCTCCCAGCAAGTTATTACAAAACAAAACCAACCTTTAAATGATTGCAAAAATTAATTTCTTTGAAGAAACTTAGTTATTCGCTGTCTTACCTGTTTAAATTTATTTATCTATGCATCTACTAACTGTCCAGCTTGAGTACTGATGAATGTTAAGCTGTTTAAATATTGAGATTTTTCTACTTTCTGGATGTTGACGTGAAGTTATATGGCATTCATGTTCTAAAACTTTCTTCTGTTGTTTAAACTAACTTTGTAGCACCACTTCCTCCGAGGTAATCCTGTGATGAAACTGTCTTGTGTTAGAAGAGGAGAGGGAGGAAGGGGATTTTGGAAGGGTAAAGAAACCTGAAATATTAATACTAATTTCAGAATGCTTTTTGTAAGCAATGCACAGTATCTGCAAATGCATTATAAATTTTACAAAGCTAATTTCCTGACAAAATACGTATCTCATGAACAACCTGTTTATAGTACTTGAATACACATATGCCTGCCCCATGATAAACACGCTGTGCTGTGAGCTGGCTTGGTGGCTCTCATGTGATGTGGTGCTTGATTTAAATTTCTAGTGTTTATATGTACATACATATTGAAAGGATGGATCTTCAGCTCCTATAAGGTGTGATTTGGATTATATGACAGATTTACTTAATTCCCCTCCTCCCCCCCAGTGATAAATGCTGTTCCCTCTGACTGTCTCTGTATTTGAAACCAGCAGATTCTCAGAGAAGGGCTTCTTATGCTCTTATATTTTCCCGCCACAGCTTTTTCAGTTAAGGGTGTGGCTTTTCCTGACACAGTTGTGTTAGAACAGGCTCCGGTGTAAAACTGCTTATCATGGCAAAAAGTCCTTTGACACTACAGCTTATCTCACTTGGGGCTGCAGTATGCTACATTGGAAAGGAACTTTCTCTACTGAAGAGTTGTGGGTGTGAAAACAGTCTTTATTTCTTCCTTTTTTTTTTACTGCCTGGGCAGCTTGTTGAGATTTTCAGTGTGACTTTCCAGTTTATAGAACCATTGGCCATTGCGTGAACTCTCTTTGAGAGTTCATGGTGCCTTACTCCAAGAGGGTCGTCTGAGGAAACCCGTAAATAGATTTCAATGCCTTGTGCAAAATGTTGTCAGACGTACAAGTTTCTAACTCAGAAATCAATACCTTTATCATCAGTAGCTGACAGCCATAAAAATAAACAGTTACAGTTAGTTAATTACTAGACCTTGGCGGGGGGGGGAGGGGGGAATGCCATTAACTTTGTGTATCTACAAAACTGAGCTATGAAACTGATATTCAACCTTAGATATCAAATAATCACATAATGTTAAACACTGAATTTTCTCTTAAGTCATTGCCACTACATAGTGGTGAATCAGTAATAGCTTCCCAGGAGCTGCTTGAATGCCATCTTATACGTGGGTAAAGGAGTAATACAACTTCAGCAAGACACTGTGATCCTATTATAATGTTGCCTGTGCAGGCTGTTAGGGACCAGCTTCTCTACAGTGTGAGTAAGAGTGAAGAGAAGTAATTATGTATGTGATTCATTTTGAAATAGCTTTTGGTACTCTGAAAGTAGGATGGAATTAGGGTAAATATTTAAATGCAAAATGATGATTGCAGATGCGCGTACACTCTTATTTAAATGAGACTGCACATACATGTGCTCAAGATGCAACATTACACTTAAATATATCCTGGAAATGGAATGCTTTGTCAGGCAGGAGCAGGCCATTGTTCTCTGCTGAGGGTGCTAAGCTCCAACTTGATAGTTTTCCCATGCTTTGCTTTAAAGTAAATACACACGTGAGGCTGTGCTCAACAGAATGCAGTATCAATTCTGAGCTGCTTGAGCCATTCAGTTTGTGGTTCAGTTTGTCTTTACTTGAGGGCTTGCCTTTGCACTGTTTCTAAGCTCCCTGATTCTTTGTGATAAGCAGAGAGTGGTGTAGTTCAGACTTAGATTGATCCAAGTGTGCTATTATTGTAAAAGGCTAAGCCATACATTTGGGTCTGCAAACTGTCATCTTTCAGCAAAAACCTGGATGTAGAGCTTCATATAATAATAATATAATATTAAGCTTAGGATAGATTAATGGAGTTCAGGAGAGAGGTTGTGGAAAGTGGCAGTGGGCCCTCAGAAGCAATTTTGAGGTAATGAAATAGCAGATGGTGCAGGCTGGAGAATGTGAGAAGGAAGAGAACATAGAGGGGGTGTTGGGGAGCTGAAGCTGCCAAAGGAGGAGTGCCTCCTTTCCTATAAATTCACTTGCTTAAAACTTTGTAGGTCTAATACCTTAAAAGGTTTTCCATATGGGTATAAGCATTATTTCTTCTCACTATACCCTATATTTCTTCTTGGGTGGCAGTTAGCTAGTAATTAAAATAAGTTATAATAAAGATGTGTGTATGTGCTTACTTGAAAAAAAAAAAGAGGAAAAAAAATCCAACCATGACTTTTAAAGCCTAAACTGATCGGTTTAAAATGAAATCCTTTAAACAGTGCAGAGGTGTCTGTGTGTTTATTTAGCAACTTGGTGGGTGGAAATCACTGGGCATCTAAAACTCGAGTGTCTTAAGTGCTTACATAGGTTTTGATAGTAGTATCCTCTTTTGCTCATTGTGTTCAGCTGTCTCGGTTCAGTGATTTGTTCATTCTGAGATAAGAAACCAGTTGAGTTTGAAACTGATTTTCTAATTCAAGATTAAAGAGGATGAGATCTGCTAATTCTGAGGTCTTGAAGTAGGTATTTTTCTTCACCGCAGTGATATTTTTTTTAACGTAATTTGCATTTCAAAATCCCTTATGTAAACTTGCCTTTTCTGTGTGCATCTATGTGTGAGGTGGTTTTAGCTAATAAATATGCAACTAAATTCCCAATTAAATTAAAAGGAACAAGCAAGTACAGTTTAAGATGAGTTGCAAAGAAAAATCTAAAATAGTAAAAGAGTAGAGATGAATATCAATATTTACTAGTTATAACGTAGAAGACTCATCTTAAATGATGATATATACAATCTTTCCTACTGCATAGCAAGAAGAGTTGTAATGACTTGATAATATCAGCAGATTTTAATGGTACTCATCTTTGCAAAACTGAAGATGTGTAATGAAATCAACTGTTTAAATCAGGGTTCTCCTTACTGTGTGAACCCCAAATGTAAATGAGGAGTATTGAAATGAATCTCATCTTACTGGGACAGGGAGCTGGATTTTGCCACTTGATTCTCTATCTGTTCTTCTATCTCCAGGAAAAAGGCCTACTAGCTTTTCTAAATCCATTTTCTTAGTAAAGTTGCTAAATGCCATGAAGCAAGGGGTTTCAACCGTGCGTGTTGTGCGTGTAATGTCAATAATTGCAGTTTGCTGAACTAGCAAACCATTCAGAGTTAAATATTCTTAGTACAGTTCACTGAAGAACAGTTTGTTAGTGACATTTTGTTTAATCATGTACAGCATAAAAACTTTTCTGAAAAAGCTTTACTTTGATATGTCAGATGATCAGGAATCAGAGGTTTGAGTCTCGACGTGTTGCAAGGGTGGCTTCATTGTACTGGTTGCTTGCCAGTGGAAGGCTTCAAAAAATCTTCTAAAAAGGATTTTTGGAATGAAGGTTATAATATTGTGCCCAGAAAACAGGGATAATGTTACACAAAAGGATTTTTGTGAGTGAAAGAAGGATGTGTGTGTAAGCAATACCAGCCGAATTTTCAGCCTTTCTAGTAGATACGTGCAGTTGCTGATTACAACATGTAAAACTGAAATGAACCCTGGCCAGTGGGTGGGGGTTGTGTCTCTGTGTGTGCTTTCCAGCTTCCAAACCCCACATGCGAATGTAGTGATGTACATGTTGTTGAATGAACCTAAAATAAGTATCTTTGTGAGAACTCTGCTTCAGGCTGCAGTCAGTATTTCTGAGTTTGTCTCCAGATACGTATTTGCAATATGAGCATGTTTTGGTGGGGCTGTTCCTTCATATTAATAAATGTGTGCAATATCCTATTTTCTGTAATGATTTAAATTCTAATTTGTACAATATTCATTTAATTATGTCTGCTTTAACTTTTTAAGTAAAAAAAAAAAAAAGGGGGAAGAAAAAAACCCAAGCAAACAAACAAAAGAACCACTACCAAAACCCCAAACCGAACCCAAAGAGTTTAGGCCTCATGTGTCTTGAACTTCTTTGTCATTGTCTGCGAGAAGGTTTGAAGGGCTTCCATGCTTCTGACAATCAAGCTGTGTAGACAGCTTAAGGAATGGAAGTAGTTTAAATGGGAACTTTTGCATTGGTTTATGTACCATGTACGCATGTAGCATATTTGACTTTTCCTGTATGTTAGCCTACTTTTCTAATCTTGTATTTTTTAGGTTTTTTTCCTCTTCTGAAATACTGCTCTATTTGCACAAACATGGCCTGTGTTTGGGAAGCCACGCTAATTTTAGATGGAAGGGGGCCTACAAGAATGCTGAAGAGGGACTCTTTATCAGGGACTGTAGCGATAGGACAAGGGGTGATGGGTTTAAACTAAACCAGGCAAAGTTCGGGTTAGAGATAAGGAAGAAGTTCTTTACTGTGAGGGTGCTGAGGCACTGGAACAGGTTGCCCAGAGAAGTGGTAAATGCTCCATCCCTGGCAGTGTTCAAGGCCAGGTTGGACAGAGCCTTGCGGGGTGGACAGAGCCTTGGACGGCATTGTCTAGTGTGAGGTGTCCCTGCCCATGGCGGGGGGGGTGGGGGTTGGAACTAGATGATCTTAAGGTCCTTTCTAACCCTAACTGTTCTGTGACTCTATGAACTGTTATTCTGAAACAAGAAACACAAGTTCTTAATTATTTCCTTGCTTGATTTGTCTTCTCTACCCCCTCTTCATAGGTTCCTTAAAACTGTGCTATGAATGGTGATTCTGGAGTGGGGGTGGTGACTTCACCACCCCCGACAACAGCCCCTCATAAGGAGAGGTATTTTGATCGAGTTGATGAAAATAATCCAGAGTATTTGAGAGAGAGGAATATGGCACCTGACCTTCGCCAGGATTTTAACATGATGGAACAGAAGAAGAGAGTCTCCATGATTCTTCAAAGCCCAGTAAGAAAAGAAAATGCTCCATCTTCAAAGTTAAAAATTTATTATTTGTATTTGTAATATCCCTATAAAATTGGAGAATTTTGTGGTATCTTAGGTCTGTTTGATCTTTTCTCTGGTGGCCTTTCTGCTAAAGTATCCTAATTGCAGGCTAATTTTTCCTCATGTTGAATTTTTATTCTCTATTCTATTTCTTCTACTTTTCCTTTCATGTTTTGTGTTCAAATCAATTGTACATCCTGCTCCTTCTTCCAGAAACCCTATTAGTAGGTTCAGTGAGTTTTAGTGTTACTTGAAGACAAAATGCTGGAATTTCCATTCACAAAAAAAGTAAGTGACTCATACCACTGGAGCTCCAGAAAGGAACATTTTCAAGTAACAGTGTGCACCCAATACTTCTGCCCTGAGTTGTTTTTCAGAAGAGATGTAGAATGTTTCTTACGTAAGTGCTGAAGAGAAGCTGTGTATGAAAGGTTGAAGTTCATTTGAAACTGCTTTGTAACATGCAATGTACTCTTGCTAGGCTTTTTGTGAAGAACTGGAATCTATGATCCAGGAGCAATTTAAGAAGGGGAAGAACCCAACAGGCTTACTGGCTTTACAACAGATTGCGGATTTCATGACAACGCATGTACCAAATGTCTACCCTGCAGCACCACAAGGCGGAATGGCTGCCTTAAACATGAGTGAGTGCACCTTCTTTTAGAATAGTTGAGGGTTTTTTTGTTAGAAAGGTTTGAAATGAAGACAGTGTGAATGAAAAGTACTGTGAAGTTCAAACACCATCCTGTTCTGCTCACAGGAACATTGCAAACATGAAATGAATTGATTAGTTTCCAAATGCCAGTGTTACGTAGTGTGATTCATGTGTATAATTTACATCAAAAGCTATTTCAAGTATGGTATCTTAATTGAAAAGTAAGCCTCATCAGTCAGCACTAGTAAAAAACCTCAAGGTTTAAATATATTGCTAATATTTACCACATGGGTTGTCTGCAGGAAAATAAAATGCTCATTAGTAGTCTAGTAACAGTGAAGGTCTTTAGAAACTAGTTATTTTTGCCATTGAAGTGCTGTTTGCAGCTTTCTCCGGTGAAGTGAGGCTGTAGACAAGAAACATAAGCAAGCAAAACAAAGAAAAAAACCAAAACCCAAGATGTGTGAATGCATGTACACACAGGTTTTTGTTAAGATAATACAAATCCTTGCCATGCTCCAGACTGTAATATGGCCTGGTTCTGCTTTATCACAGTTACTTTTAACCACATTTCTAATTGCACTGTAACTAGAACTATAGTATTTTTAATTATTTACCATAATCCTCCTCTCTCTAGCTTGTACTTAATTGTTCCTAATTAATTGAATCTGTGTGCATCTTTTTAGATGTGTAACTGTCCTGTTCAGGGATACTGAATCATGTATCTCAAAGTGGAATATCCGGGGTTACATTCTTCTGTTAACAATAAAGTTGGATTTAACAGACCATAATTAGTTTTAAAGAGAAATGAAGTATTTTGCTAAGGACTGCACTGTCACTTTAGCATTAATTAATATTAAGGAAGGAAACAAATGCTGAGTCTACTGAAGATAAATGACCTTGTCTGAGACTGTCATTATATTTCTGTAATAGAAATTATGGCATTATAGTATTTAAAGTTTGCTATCCATTTCTTAGGTTAATAGGTTGATATAATTTAGTAGGAACAACCACTTGTAATAGTGGTGCATGGTTTTAGGTTTTAACTGATGTCGAATGCAACCTCCCCTTGTGCTTTTTTTACATCTTCTCCTTTTCAGGTCTTGGCATGGTGACACCAGTGAACGATCTGAGAGGGTCAGATTCCATTGCCTATGAAAAAGGGGAGAAGTTGTTACGATGTAAATTAGCAGCTTTCTACAGATTAGCAGATCTCTTTGGCTGGTCTCAGCTTATTTACAATCATATAACAGTGAGTATTGAATCAACAGATAACTGAACCAATTGTTTTAACCTACAAGAGAATTGCTTCCTTCCCCCAGCTGTCATTTTCTCTTTGTGTGGAAGAGGAGCAAAGTGGTATTGAAAGCAGTATAATAGTGAAGAGATTTGTCATTGCATCTTAGGAATAAGAACTGGAACAGCTTGGATGTCAGTTACATAGCCTGAATAGTCTTAAGAGAGTGTACATGAATGTTCTTATGATGAAAGTCTTGAAAGACTCAATCCTTTAGTACCTTAAATGCTTTGAATAATTGTATGTATTATTCTTCAAGGTCATTTCTCAGTTTTCTTGCTAAGTACTAAAATATCTTCTTAGTCATTCTGTTGAATTTTATAATTCAAGGTACCAACCTTTTTGAAAAGGAAGCCATAATATTTCTGAGCATGAGTGAACTACTTAGCTTAATGCAGCGTGCCAGCAATTTTCCTTGTGACTGAGTAATCGCTGGCATCCATAAAAATAATGACATGGAGGTCAAATCAAGGAGGTCTTATATGCCAGAAGAATGATCAACATGAGTCCCATGAGTGAAGTCCCAGCTGTGGTGTGCAAACCAGGCAATTGTTTTCCTAACAGAGCTGAATTGTATCTTTCTACATAGTAGAGGTTGTTCTTTATGTATTTTCAATTCTTCTAGTTGCAGTGTGAGTGAAATATGGTAATTTAGTTGTTACTGCTTTTTATGATTTCAAGGTGTGTTATTTGTGAACCGATGAAGCTGATAAATGATATGGGTAGACTTAGGATCAAGGCTAGATTGTTAGGTTCCTTCAGCACGGGAACATATCCAACATAATGGTTCTTGTAAACAACTCTGAGCTACCCCCTGATTTTACATATGTGATAGGAGAATTGATTTTGTAAAAGGGACATTAATGCAGTATAAAGATTCCTGAGCAAGTGGGTTTGGAGATGGCTTTCAATGTAAAGTTCAGCCCTGGGGATGTTTATGTGTTTAGATAAAAAAGTAAATATAATGAAAAGCAGCATGCCTGGGGAAGTGGTTATGGCAGGGGCATGTGATTGGATGGAAAGCCTCAAGTTCGCTTTCTTTTGGTCTTTCTTCCATATACCCATACATTAATTAGTAACGTGGTAGTAAGGCACTCCTTTGGAATGTGGGGAATGCCTACCACTTCATGCAGAGCTGGAGTCTGACACAAGGTTTTTAGGTTTTTGTGAGTGGGTGCTCTTAATTACTAGGTGGTTACATTCAAGTTAAAAGCTGCCAGTGCACTCCTTATGTTAGAGAAAAATTACAATAGCTTTCTGTGGGGGTCATAAGCCTGCATGTTAGAGGAGAAAGGAGTTGTGAGGATATGAGAGCTATGCCAATCTGGGCATATTGGGGAGTTGGATGGAGTATCTTCGCTTTTCTGGATCTCTGTCAATCACTGGCAGCTGCTGTGTGTGGAATTGTTCAGACTGCTGCAGTCCTGATGCAGAAGCAGAATTACAGAGCATCAAGAGCTTTCAGGTCAAGCACAATAATGTGTAGAGTAAACTTGGATGCCTCCAAAGTTAGGCAGAATTTGAGATTACAGTTTACATAAGGCACACATCATTCACCAAGTCTTGGTTTGCTTGAGGGCATGAGCTGTTTATTGGATCTAAGCCTAAAGCAAGGTGGCTTGTGAGTCTCGCTGCTTGTTTATCTTGCATTTGAGCTTTCCTGTTAACGTTTTGGGCATTTTGAGTAATACTTATTCTTTGTCTTGCATAAATAAGTAAAATATTTTCTGGATCATTTACACTTGTGCAGTGGAGAAATATTTTGGTGATCCATAAAAGTACAGGTTAACTTCAACTAACTGGTTCAGTGTAAGGCTCTTATGCTATAGCATGTTACCAGCCGGTTGTAGAGGAATCTAGATTTGTAATTACAGCTTTTGGATGACTAATCAGCTACTTCAGAAATTTTTTTCCCTGCAGTAGGACTATATCAAATTATATGTGTATTTAATGTTGCAAATAGTAGAACAGATGAGGAAGCATAAAGTAGCTGCATCTTGGGGATATGAAAAACTCAAATACAACTATAAAAATGCTAAAAAAACCCCAAACCCCAAACAGAAAAAAAACCCAAACACAAGCCCTGGGTAGACTCATAGCGAAATACAGAATTCTCTCCTGATTGTGTGAATTAAAAGAGCAAAAACATAAGTGAAGGTCAGGATATTTGGTAGAAAACCTGCAACTGTGCTGTACTGCTCACAGTATTATCAGTTGTAGCATACATGAAAGTCACATTGCATATGTTACAGGCATACTTGCTCATTCCATGCTCAGGAAGTGAAGGTAACTTTCATGGTTTTGGGCCTTCTTATATGCTTTAATAAGATACTTTTAGCAACTTTTACTCTTGTTTTATCCTTAGGCCAGAGTAAATTCTGAGCAGGAGCACTTCCTCATTGTACCTTTTGGACTTCTCTACAGTGAAGTTACTGCATCCAGTCTGGTAAGCAATTGCTGTTTTTCAGAGCTTTAAAATATGAATGTCTGAATCTGCTCTGTCTGTGTGTCTGTCACTGTTGAAATGTTATCCTAGCGAATGTTTTACTTTGTGTTATGTGTTTAGAATAGTTTCATTGGACATGGCTGATTCTGGTACAGCTGAGATCTCTCCTTGCACATGTTCACCACCAGGTGTCCTCCAGTTGATGTAGCTGTAAAGAGGAGCCAGGTCATTTGGACAGCTAATCAATCACGTCATGCCCTTGAAAGCTGCTGGCTGTTGAGTCAGGCTTGTCAAGGGAAGCAGTATGTGTTTCAGACATAAATGATGCAAATCAGTTACAATTTCAAGATACTGTGTCAGATGCCTAATTTAGTTGCCATCGTTTAATGATGTAGCTGAGGGTATAGATAAATTATATTTTCCAAATCTGATGATTGCAATGAAGACATAACTCCCTTAACTGTTAGCTAGTGGGAGGCATTTTGTGAGTGTTTATCTTCAGTCTCCACTGCTGCTCAAGGCAACTTGAGTTAGTGTGGTTGACTCTCTCTTGCACTGAAACAAAATGAGTTTTTACACTGTTCTTGCTACTTGGCTACTTTAAGGTAAGTAACCTCTAGCAGAGAGGTCAGGTAAGTATGTGCACAGTAGTAGCACTTCAAAGTTGACGCCTTAAGGTCCCAGTACTCCCCCTCAGCTATCTGTAAAGTTGGCTTTTCCTTGCATGACTCCACACTAAATATCTGTCAAATTTTAATTGAAAAAGCCATAAGCAAAGGAACAGAGAAAACTGAGACCTGCCCTACTACCAGATTTCTAGAAAAGGGTAGGGCCATGCTCTAGGGGTGTTCTGTGTTTTATTTGGGGGTTTTGTGTTTCGTTTTGGTGGGCATTTTTTAAAGGTGTTCTGCTTGTATCTCTCTATCAAGAAATATAAGTACCTTGAGAATTAAGATTGTGTGAAGGTAGCAAAATGTGCACGCACACACATGTGCACTCACACAGTAGACAGTATGTTCACACAGAAAACAGCAGCAGGATTTAATAAGATGCACTACAGTGATAAGGCACAGGGCTTAGCCAGATGAACATGCTGACCAGCAGCCTGCTTACATGGATGGCCCTTTATCACCCCTTTCTCTTAATTTCTCATATGCTTGTTCTTCCCGTATCCGCTCTGAAACTCCCATTTTCTCTGATCATGTTCAAGGTCCTGTTATTCCTCTTCAGGTATCTGCAGAGTTTGCAAGTTCCTTATAAAACTCCACCATAATTCTCTGAAATGCAGCCATTTGGTACAGTGCTGTCTGTACCTGTCCGTTTCTTGCACCATTACCTCCTACAAGCAATGATTCCTTGTATCATATCCAGTAGTTCCTCATGTCCTTTTCAGGTAGCTTAATCTCAAGCTGGGGCCCCCTGGTCACCTACCTACAGCCTTATCCTGCACATTTTGACACTTTCTAACATTGAATACTGAAAGAAATACAGGTTTAAAGCCTCAGTGGTAGGTGTTGAATTAAATCACTTTGACAGTCTTGATTCATTGATGAAACTAACTCTTTTCATCCCCAGGTTAAAATCAACATTCAGGGAGATGTAGTTGATCGTGGAAGCACTAACCTGGGAGTAAACCAAGCTGGTTTTACTTTGCACTCCGCAATTTATGCAGCTCGACCCGATGTTAAATGCATCGTTCACATTCATACGCCAGCAGGGGCAGCGGTAAGCACACTTCTGAGTTTCTCATCTGTTTACCCCCACCCACCCGGCTGGAAAATAGGTTGGTCCCCCTTAATCATAGTTTTGTTTCCTTTTAGAAGGACACAAAGCCTTTAAGTCTGCCTTCAAATAAGTGGTTATGTTTGAATCAATGAGATCCTCCTTATTTGGTTGTTAAATGAGGGCTCAGACAGTAAAGCTTTGTAATGGAAAATACATATTTCATATTTATGTGTCCTTTACCACAAAAGACCATATCCTTTGACAGGGAGTCATAAGAACTTTGGCATGTTTTGTAAAGCACAATTTATCAAGGTTTTCTTAAATATTTGAAATTTTCAAATACCTCTCAGTAGAGCAACGGGCTACAAGTTAGTTTTAGCTCTTTGGAATTTTTTGAGAGTCATCTGATGACACTCTTCCAAAGATCATATTCTGGGGCAAGCATTTTAAGGATAAATGATCAGATTTCTAAAATTGTGAATTATAGTCTTAAAATGCTCCTTATCTTTACCTTCACTGCTGTGGAATTACCTGTGTCAAAGTTCTTCACTGAATTTCT